GTGTGTAGATGAAGGGGGTTGGGGGAGAACCCTCTGAGAAAATGGATATTCTGAGGGTCCATAAATACACTTGGTTGTGATAAAAGTCTTATTTCTCAATGTTTATTTGAAAAAGAAGAAGAAAGCACCAGGGGTGGCCCAGTCAAAAGCTGTTTTAACTGTGACATCTCTTCCCTCTCTATAATGGAAGCAACTGATGCAGAACAAGAAGGAGTTGGGGGGGGGACAGAGAAAACCCCACCAACCCACCCTGGCAGCTTAGACTTTGCAAAGGCAGAGGATTCAAAGCGAGGGACTGATTAAGAAGGGCACATCAAGAGATGAGCTTTTGAAATGTTAATTCCATCCGCGGCCTGGAGAACGATAACCTTGAAGCTGCTGTGATGTTACCTGGCAGGGAGAGGAACCCATTAGTTGTCATCCCGGTATCACAAAGCAGGTCATCGCGTAGGGTAATGTCTCGGTTGCTCAAGCAGCGAGGGGATGGAGGAATGGGGTCTTTAAGCTTCCCTTTTTCTTCTCTTTTTTTTTAATATTTGGCTAAAGGAACGTTTGGGCTCTTGCCAAGAGCGTTCTCCTTGACCTCGGAGCTTCAGATCTTCGAGCGGGCGCTCCGGGCTCGTTTGATGATGTGGATGTGCTCGGAATAGCTGAGAGAAAGGGTGGCTTTGTGGAGGGGGTGGAGGCATTTCATCTTTTACTAAGTTTGTAGTTAAGCCCTGGAGCTCATAAATCTGTGCTTGGAGCCGTAGACGGAGAGGAAAAAGGAAGCCCAAAGATGCCCTGACCCCACGGGTTTCAGCAGCCTTGGGTTTGGAGGACTCTTAATGTCCTTCAAGTCTGTTTTCTTCAAATATATGGGGGTGCTGGACCTCAAATGATGCTTGTGAGTGTGTCAATGTCTTTTCTTTGATGGATAAAGCAGCTGTAACAGCACTTCCCTCTCCTGTTGTGACTTTTAAAGCCTGGAAACAAGTCCCAGGGAAGGCAGGGTGTCCCAAGGATGTCCTCACTGGGATGCAGGTGACAGAAGAAAGCCAGAAGGGCTGTTTTTTTGGAAATCATACCAGGGAGCATCAAACCAGGGCTGGGTATAACCATTAATGAGGGTGTTCTCCATGACTTGGTGACTGTTAATCACCGTAGCCTTTTTTTTTTTAAGCTGTTGAATGTCTCAGAGCTCTGAAGGATTGAGAGTAAGATGAAAAATGAAGAGCGTTGACAAAAACCTTGTAGCTCTTCCAGCTATGGGACACCAACTGGACCGCTCAACCTCAAGGAAGCTGCTCGAAGAGTGGGAGAGATGTTAAATAACCCTTTTTTTTCTTTTGTTTTCATCATTTTTATGTTTCCAGCTGTTGAAAGGCTGTGCAATAGGCAGCTGGAGAGATGGCTCTCCTTCAGAAGCCTGATTTTTTCAGCCTGGAAAGGTTGCTCCTGGTCTTCTAGAAACTGGGCTGTATCTTACAGCCACTTGAAGAGGTGGAATTTCCATCAGCCTGGTTGGAGAACGTTCAATCTGCTACATAACCCCACGTCAGCTCAGTCTGGTTTCTGAGTGTGAATAAAGTTTCAAAGCTTTCTTAATTCTCTATGTGGATATTTTGGATTTCTTTTGAGGTGAGAATCCTTAATTTTAGGCACAGGGAAGGATGTGGTGGGATCTGGTCAAGCCTGGGATTTCTCTCTCCCTTAATCCAAAAAAGGCACTTTGTTTATCCTGGTTATATCATGAAATCCCTTGGGTTTTTTTCAGGTATTGAAATAAATTTATGGTTAAGTGTAGCACATCCCTCCTTATCAACCTGGTCTAGAGGCATCAGGTTCAGTGTTTTGCTGCTTGAAGTAGAAATTGGGGAGAAAACTTTGGGGAAGTCAAGGGGGCGATGAGATGACGACGTTACGGGAAAGCTCTCCAGGTTGCCCCAACTTCAGGTGTGACATGGATTTCCAGACTGAGGTAGAAGAGTAAATATGAAAATATGCAAATAAATACTAATAGGATTTTCCAATACTTCTCTCCCTTTCCCACCTCCATCCTACAAAGACACAGCCATTAGATTTTTATCCTTCCGCGTAATCTCTTCTGAAAATACCTGGTCATTTTCTTCCCTTTTTAAGATGTCGCCATTACTTGTACCTCCAGAAATAATATTTCTGAGAAGATTTTATTTATTTATATATTTTTTTTCCTTCCCTCCCATTCAGAAAGCTTTCCAGGTTATTCAAGCTGTTGGGCTCCTCTGTCGTAAAGCAATTTAGGTTAAATATGCCTTTTGCGAAGGACGCGAATAGCCGAAATTGCAACCAAACTGCAAGGGTAATTGCATGAAAAGAAAGTTAATCTTTGTTTGACTTCTGGAATTTCTGCATTTGTTGCAGTGGAAGCTGTCGTCACCCCATTTCCTCCTGCAGAAGGGGATTATTTACTTGCCATAATAGCCACATAAAATCATTAACACGCTGTCATCAACAGCTGCCTTCAACCGTGGTGGCATAAATAAAGTGCCCAACGAGGAGCTGGGAGTTGCAAACAGAACACACTTGCCTTTGGGAGAAAGGGGAAGGAAAAGGGAACACATGGTTTTGAAAATAATTATGGTTTTATGCATTGTAAATATAACTTTTTACTGTTAGCCGTGTTTTATGGCAACGTTGCCCTGGGCCAACGTGGGGCTTTTGGACCTAATTCTGCTCTACTTCTTCCAGTAATTGAAATGGGAGCCTTAAGATAAATGAAAAACAAATTGGGATTTAACTACTTGTGTTATCAGAAAATGGGAAAAAAAGAAAATATTTTCTAAGTTTTTCTAAGTTCTTATGATGCTCTTGTGCCTGAAACGCTCTACAAGTTAAGGCTTCCAGCTCTTGCTTTCTCCTCTGTTAAATTTTATTAATTTCTTGAAGTCACAACTTTTATTCTCCATATGTTTCAACTTAAAATCTGGTACCTGGCTGTTTTGGTTCGTGTAGAGGTGGAACCAAGCGCTCGACAATAAAATTAATTTCTATAAAGAAAAATCCAAGCGGTTGTTTATGCGTTGCTATTCATAGAAAGCTTTGGTTTGAGGTGTAAAATAGAAATAATTCATCTTTTTCTTAGGACTAAAAAGGTTTTTTGAATCTTTTTATCGCATAAGGCTTTGTTTTTATTTGCTCTAACGAGATAAAGGGATTCGTTTGATGGTGAAGAATAAAAAAGAGCCAGTTTTTGTGTTCATAATCAGCTGTTTCCAAAGTGTTCCTCGTGCCCTGGAGGGCAGAACGGCAGCGCTGTCACTGGGACAGGGTTTGGAGGATGAGGAGCAGCCGATATTTCTGGGAACCAGAGGTCTAGATCCAAACCTGGAGGCCCTCAGAGGTGCCAGCCCCCCAGGGAGGGTGGGATGGGCAACGGGTGATGGGGCAGAAACTTGGGTTTTTATTATGATACAGTGGAAACTACTCTGAAATTATTAGAAAATACCTGATGCAGTGAAGGAGAAGGACTGTTGATGTTGAGTTGTGCCCTTTGGTGTGTTGCATCTACAGGTTCTCAAGCATGTTAATGATTGTTCTACTCTCTAGCAGACCTTATGTTGTAGCTGTGCTCTGAGGGCATCTCCTTCTCCCTTTACAGTCTGATTTATCTCCTAATTACACTAAGTTGATTAGCATCCTGTTACATGTAAGAATTTGGCCTCGGCGTTCTTGCTGCAGGTGGACATCTCGGGTCTCAGTGGCTTCAGGGATGGTGTGTAGCTGGTAGAGTTGGCACTTTGAGTGCCTCTCCTGCCTCTTCTCTACATAAAGGACATCCTCGTGGTTTTTTTCTCTTCCTGCCTCCTGGAGAGCAGCGGCCAGGCTAGTTGGTCTTGGTGTGGGGAGAGCGGGTTGGTCTTGGTGAGGTGGAAGAAGATCCACCAGGTTTGAGATCTTGGCGAGGTGGAAGAAGATGCACCAGGTTTGAGGTCTTGGTGAGATGGAAGAACATCCACCAGGTTTGAGGTCTTGGCGGGGAGAGCAGGTTGGGCTTGGTGAGGGGGAAGAAGATCCACCAGGTGTGAGATCTTGGCGAGGGGGAAGAAGATCCACCAGGTGTGAGATCTTGGCGAGGGGGAAGAAGATCCACCAGGTGTGAGATCTTGGCGAGGGGGAAGAAGATCCACCAGGTGTGAGATCTTGGCGAGGGGGAAGAAGATCCACCAGGTGTGAGATCTTGGCGAGGGGGAAGAAGATCCACCAGGTGTGAGATCTTGGCGAGGGGGAAGAAGATCCACCAGGTGTGAGATCTTGGCGAGGGGGAAGAAGATCCACCAGGTGTGAGATCTTGGCGAGGTGGAAGAAGATCCACGAGGTTTGAGGTCTCGGCGGGGAGAGCAGGTTGGTCTTGGTGAGGTAGAAGAAGGTCCATGAGGTTTGAAGTCTTGGTGGGGAGAGCAGGTTGGTCTTGGTGAGGTGGAAGAAGGTCCACCAGGTTTGAGGTCCTGGCGGGGAGAACAGGTTGGTCTTGGTGAGGTGGAAGAAGATCCACCAGGTTTGAGGTCTTGGCGGGGAGAGCAGGTTGGTCTTGGTGAGGTGGAAGAAGATCCACCAGGTTTGAGGTCTTGGCACTTTTCCTGGTAGATGGGTAGACTGTGCTCCTCCATGCTCTTCTCCCACATGTTTATAGGTCTTGGCGGGGAGAGCAGGTTGGTCTTGATGAGGTGGAAGAAGATCCACCAGGTTTCAAGTCTTGGCACTGTTCCTGGTGGGTGGGTAGACTGCACTCCTCCATGCTCTCCTCCTACTTGTTTACCAACTGCAATTAGTGGAGAATCATAGCTTAATTTCTTAGAATATTTGCCAGCCATATCTATGGTGCCTCTGGGGGTTCCCTACATTGAGTTTCTGTATCTGTAATATTGTATATCTGTAATATTGTATGTTTCTTCCTCCATAGTAACGTACGACCAATATTTATTCTGTATCTCATGCTTTTGGTCTTCCAGGTTCACAGATCAAGACTTTTACATCGTTGAGGTTCTTGACGGAGCCTTCAGATGCCGTCACCATGCGAGGAAGCAACGTGCTGTTGAACTGCGTCGCAGAATCGGATCGAGGAGCCCCCGTTATTAAATGGAAGAAAGACGCCGTCTTCTTAAACCTGGCAGTAGATGAAAGGAGGCAGCAATTGGCCAACGGGTCGCTCTTGATACAGAACATCGTCCACTCCAGGCACCACAAGCCGGATGAAGGTCTCTACCAATGTGAAGCATCCCTAGAAGGCGTCGGAGCCATCATCAGTCGGACGGCGAAGGTCATGGTAGCAGGTAGGCACAAACCTTCTCACCTTGTGGTTTGCTGGAAATAGTTTGTGAAAAGCTGCTTTTTTAGAGCAAAAAACCTACATAAAAGCACTTGAAGTGCTTCGAGTTTTCTTTTTTTCCCCCTCTTCAAAAGAAGTAAAGCTCGATATGACACTTGCGCGACGGTAATTTCTTTCTGACAAGGTATTATTCTTGTTTAAATATGTCTAATCACCTCTTTGTTGCCGCGAGTTATTTCCCCGCGTATTTATTGTCTTCAAACCTAGATGAAACCTCTGAAGTTGGGAATTAACTGCTTTTTCTGATGAATTGAAGATCACAAAAAAATAAAAAAACAATGCCAAACTTCTGTAGGGCACTGAATGTACGAATTTTTGATGGTTTAGGAACTTTTTTCAGAGACAAGAACTCATTATGCAGCTTGCTGGAATCAGCAGCCTCTTTGTATTTCATTTTATAAGCTCTTGTGTAGGTAAACGGCAGAAGGAACAGAAGTTTATTACCAGGCAGCTGAGAACATTTAGGGCTTCATGTTCACTTAACAAATACCTTTGTCTGTCAGATGTTTGAAGTTTTATGAGGGGCCTTTTTTGCCTCTTGGTTGGTCTGTGGAAGGACGTCGTGAGTCCTTAATCTAATTATTGGGGGGAAAAAATATTTGGAAACGGTTCGACTGAAAGGTACAAAGAAACTCAAAATCACTGCAATGTGCTAGAGGTCAGAAAATTATTTTTTTTATTATCATTGTTTAAGAATTTGGGGTTTTTTTTGGTTTCTGCTCTCTTTTCGTGGTTGGAACTACTGCGTATTGCTGATTGCTCTAGACCTGGTTGCCTTTCTTGGACAAGGGTTGAGCATAAGGCCAAGTGCTGGGTCCTGCATTTTGGTCACAACAACCCCAGGCAACGCTACAGGCTTGGGGAAGAGTGGCTGGAAAGCTGCCCAGAAGAAAAGGACCTGGGGGTGTTGGTAGACAGCAGGCTTAACATGAGGCAGCAGTGTGCCCAGGTGGCCAAGAAGGCCACCAGCATCCTGGCTCGTATCAGGAACAGCGTGGCCAGCAGGAGTAGGGCAGTGATGGTGCCTCTGGACTGGGCACTGGTGAGGCCTCACCTCGAGTGCTGTGTTCAGTTCTGGGCCCCTCACCACAGGAAGGACATTGAAGTGCTGGAGCGTGTCCAGAGGAGAGCCACCAAGCTGGTGAGGGGTCTGGAGAACAAGTCCTCTGAGGAGAGGCTGAGGGAACTGGGCATGTTTAGTTTGGAGAAGAGGAGGCTGAGGGGAGACCTCATTGCCCTCTACAACTCCCTGAAAGGAGGGTGTAGAGAGGCAGGTGTTGGCCTCTTCTCCCAAAGGACGAACGACAAGACCAGAGGAAATGGTCAGAAGTTGGGGCAGGGGAGATTTAGATTAGATATTAGAAAGAATTACTTTACTGAGAGGGTGGTCAGGCACTGGAAGAGCCTGCCCAGGGAGGTGGTGGAGTCACCATCCCTGGAGGGATTTAAGAAACGTATAGACATGGCTCTTCAGGGCATGCTCTAGTGCCCAAGGTTATTGGTTTATGGTGAGGTGTTGAGTGTGGGGTTTAGTTGGTCGGTGCGGTGTTTTTGGTGGGCGTTTGGTGTGGTGTTTTTTGTTGGTTTTTTTTGTTTTTGTTTTTGTGGTTGGACTCGATGATCTCAGAGGTCCCTTCCAACCACTAAGATTCTGTGATTCTGTGATCCATCCACTGGGATTTTCTTAGTAACCTTGGGGAAAGAGGATAAAATATCCTACAGCCTTTTCCCATCCTGTGTTATCTCAATCTCTCACTGGTTATACTGGGAGGGGGTTCAGGCAGCTTCAGCTGGTCTCTCTGGTGTCCCTCATCAACTTTGGTGCCTTTTCCAGCCTTAAGGTCCTTTAAACTCTACTTCTCCTCTTCCAAACTCTTCTCTACCAGCTAGAAAAGGTGGTTTTTCTTATTATACCCAATTAAAACAGGAAATAAGTCTTAGTATGTTGTCCTGTGCTGTGATTCCCACCCAAAGCGATGGAGACCCTCCAAGATGCCAAGAAATTGGCCATTCTGTTACGGAATCGGCCCGGGAGGGACCCTGCAGAGCTGCGCTTTGCCAAGCAGGGCTTTGTGCCAGTTGAAGTTGTTCCTTGGCCTTGATCTTGGTGGTTGGCAACCACTAACTCATAAAATCACTCCAATTAATTCTTTTCAAGCGAACGCACGTACGTGAGCGTTCCCTGTTGCACAGCTCTGTGATTTTGAGTGTTTTGTAGGAAGGTCCTGATGGTCGTATCCCTACAGGGACGTTGGGAGGGGGAGGACAGGACCCTTGTTCAAGAACAATTTGGCCAAAGCTGGAAGAACTGATAAAGAGTTCTTAATTGGAAAAAATCAGTGGGAAGGACAAGGGACGATGCGCGCAACGCTGAGATATTGGATGTTAGTTTAAAGATAAGTATTTTGCCCATAAAGAGGAGTCTCCCTCTTGGAGATAGTCAAGATCCAGTTGGACACAACCCAGCAGAGCCTGTTGGTAGCTGCCCCTACTTTCTGCTGGACTAGATGATCTCCGTAGGTGCCTTCTGCTCTTGTTGATTTTTATTTTCTTATTTTTTTTTCCCTCACTGTGTGAAAACGGTTCGATTTATAAGGTGGAATATAAGGTGTATGGCATTTAAAAGGAGCAACAAATGGACTAGATGATCTCCGTAGGTGCCTTCTGACCTTGTTGATTTTGATTTTCTTACTTTTTTTTCCCCTCACTGTGTGAAAACGGTTCGATTTGTAAGGTGGAATACAAGGTGTATGGCATTTAAAAGCAGCACCAAGTTCTTCAATCTTCAAGTAGAAGTATTTTGGTCTCTGAAGGACACGTGTTCCTGAGCGAGCAGAATTCCACTGGGTTGGTTGTTGTTGTTGTTGGGGTTTTTTTTGTTGTTTTTTGTTGTTTTTTTTTTTTTTTCTTCTGAGGGAGTCACCGTGCAATGTTGGCAGAACATCATTGACTTAAGGCACTGGCAGATGGAAACAGGAGAGAGTAGGGGAAAAGAGGGCAAGAGGAGAAATGAAGGTCTCTCACTCCAGCATGTTGTGTTAATCATCGCTTGGCGAAGGAAATAAAACTCCCCGTGTTCCGAAAAAGCCTCCCTTTTCCAGAGAGGAGGGTTTTCAAGGAAAGGATCCCGAGCTTTAATATTTCAGGCAGGTTTTAGGAAGAGATTCATTCCCTGAATTACAATCTAATCTCGGGTAGTGTCACTTCTAAACTATGGGGCTGTTCACGGCGTTTTAAGTCCTTCCCGTGCTGTTTGGCAACGTCGAATACATCAACATTTGATGTCTTTTGGAGGTTACAATTGCCAAACTGCTGCTGTTGCATAAGGGGGCATATATCTTTCTTGCAGTAAAGACTCCCAACGTGGTCTCGTTGCTCTTTTTAAAGCATTAAGAGTCAATAAAGGCAGTCACTGCTAAAAGGTAACCATCAACTCCACGTGGAACGGTCTGCTCGGGGGTACTCAAAGTATATTGCCCTTTTCAAGCCCTTCCCCTTGTGATTTCATGGCTTAAAGTGCTTTCACTGAAGAAAAGGGAGCAAATGAAAAAGGGTTTTAAGCAGTCGCTGGGGATGGGGGAGAAGAACACCGTGTCTAAGAACTTCTCCATGGTCCTCACGGCCCCGCCGTGCTCCAGCCGTAAAAGCTTTCCTGGCTGAGATGGAAATGAGAGCACCGGAGAGAAACTAAGAGCTGCTTCCTTCTCCAGCCTCCTATTAAACCTCCCAATTTAACAGACTGCTGATTATTGGTATTTTTAGTAATCGGTAGGATTTCAGCTAGAAATCCCACTACCCTGTGTTGTATCTCTATTTATGGACTGTTGCAGGGTCAGTCCTTCAAAGGTATTGGCTTTAGTGTTCCTCTGAAATGTCACTCTTGCAGAGGATGATTAAAAAGTGGAATCCAAGGTTCTTTTAGAGGGAAATAGAAGAATAGAAGAGCTGGGGAGGGACTCTTTGCCAGGAAGGGGAATGATAGGACAAGGGGAAACGGTTTGAAATTGGAAGAAAAAAGATTGAGATTAGATCTCAGGAAGAAATTTTTGACTCTGAGGGTGGTGAGACACTGGAACAGGTTGCCCAGGGAAGTTATGGATGCCCCATCCCTGGAGGGGTTCGAGGCCAGGCTGGATGGGACCTTGAGCAACCTGCTCTAGTGGGAGGTGTCCTTGCCCAGGGCAGGGGGGTTGGAACTGGGTGATCTTTGAGGTCCCTTCCAACCCAAACCATTTTATGATTCTATGATTCTGTGAAATTCCACCCTTCAGCATCCAGCCCCTTGGTGAAGACCAGCTCTCTGGCACGATGAGAATTTCTGTGTGTGGTCATAATAATTTATAACTAGAGAACTATTTACGCTGGAAATGTTTATAATCTATTTTTTTTCTTTTAAAAAAATCAACCCAACCAAACAGTAGATAAGCTACACACAGCTATAGATTGATGTTGACCAATGTCCTGGCTTTGGTGACCACCAACAGTTGATGTCTAGAGACTGTAGGAACAGTGTGTAACTGTACAGTTCACCTTAAATATTCTTGGCAGTAAATTGAGTCGTGAGTCGTAGCATTTGGACATTTAAGTGCCTTTTCATTACATTTTTTTATTTCTTCCATGTGTTTGTCTTCCTTAACCCATATGGACTTGGGGCTGTGGGTATGATGCTGTTGGTTGAGTCCTGGCTCAAATCAGAGGTTATTTTGGAGAAGGGAGAAAAATGCCACAACAAAACACCATCTAATTGGGGTTGAGTCCCTTTGGGATCACAAAGTGGAGTCCGTTCTGCTGTTTCTTATTTCTTCAAGTGCTTTAAATGATTTAAAAGATATTTTTAGAAGGTATTGGACACCATCAGGGGTATGTTTCCTAAAAAATCCAGGGTATGTTTTATAATAATAATAATAATTCATCAAAACTTTTGCTGTTTGCTTGTCTAGACAG